TAAAAAGACAGTATAAGTCATTATAATCCGTAATTATGTCCCCACTGGATGCAACAAGCGCCTCGTTTATAATGGGTTTTAATGTTTTTGTCTCGTCGCTCCGGCCGGGACACAGCATCATATGGCAAGGGGTGTAACATTTCCATCACACGCTTGAGGTATTCAGCCAATCACAACGCACTGAATAGCTGGCCAATCAGAGCACACCGCGCTTTTCAGACTGATGAGCTTTGTAAAAATTGACGCGTTTCAGAAAGGCGGAGCATAGAGGAGAAACAATAATGTACAGTATGTGGAAAATAATGTGTTTTTGAACTTTAAACCGCATAAACACATTTCATTACACCAAATACACAAAATAATGTTCTTTTTAGTAACATCATATGACCCCTTTAAAATTTAGATTGTCCCTCTTAAATTCATTCAAGTCATTCAAGTTTCTAGTCCTAAATACAGTGTAGCAAGTCATGTAATAACTGCACATAATGTAAAAACTGCACATAATGTAATAAGTATTACATTATCATTGTAATAAAGTGTTCATAATGTCATAATTTTCTCAAAATGTAATTAAATCTTGAGCTCATAATGTATTAACAATTACTACATTATGAGAAATGTATTACATTATAAACTGACCAAAAATATTGTAATATTGTCATAATTATATAATTACACTTATAATAAAGTATAAGCAGCCCAGTATAAGGGACAGTCAAAATATTTGTGCTGTTATTTAGCCTGTGTATAATATATGGATATAGAGATAAACGCCAAAATGTTTCTCAGACGTGAACATATTATTTGCTTTGCTTAATCTTTTCATGTACAAATTAATTTCTTTTTAGAATTAATTTGTACATGAATGGATTAAGCAAAGCAAATATTTTCACGTCTGAGATTCATTTTAGCATTTATATAGAGTAACTAAACTATAGCTGAACTTTAATGAGGGGACATTGTTCCTCTTAGCATCATGAAAAAAAAAAACCCTTTAATTAAAATTCTGAATGCATTACAGATAGTCTAGTATGTGCGCAAAGAG